TAGTCATGATCTTCAGATCCCAAAGGAGGGGGAAGAAACCGACATGTCACAGTCCTGTGTGTTACAGTCATCCAGTTTGAGGCTCCCTTCCCTGAAGGCAGTGTATTGATGAAGCCTTTTTGACTAACTGTTCTTTTCTTCTTTGCAACCATTGCGAAATGGTTTCTGAACAAGAGTAGATGCAAAAGGAATCGGGAAAAAAAGGATATAAAGACCCAGAAAGAAAACAGTGCTGACACATATGCAACTTTTACTTGCTCAGATCTCTCTGCCTAGTAGGGCTTAACCACAATTAGTAGAGCAGCACCTCGTATATGAACAGAAGAAAACGCAAATATTTCTGTTATTCTATTGTGTGTGAATAATTATTAATTTGCCAGTTTTTAAAGTTAGTATTATAGTCAACAGGGAAAAATATGAGGAAGAGAAAGAATATTCCAAATGGAGCAAACTGCGTCGGAGAGGTCTTGAGGAAGGAGAGAGCTTGTCTCTATCAAGAAACTGGAAGGAAGCCCATGTAACTGGAGCTCCGTGAGCACAGGGGAGCCTGCCCGGGGGCTGGGCAGGGGCTGGAGGCTGGGCTGTGTGTGAATTTCTTCAGATGCAGTAGGAGGCAAACCATGGCTTTGAGTTGGCAGCACAGCCATTTCAGCGAAATTCAGCGGCAGCTGGAGTAGGATGGTGGCGGTGGTGATGGCAAGAAATCAAGAGATGTGCGATGCCATTTGAGAAGTGGGGAGGACTAGAGGAAGCCGGAGAGGGCTGGGACCACAGAGGATGCCTTCTGGAGGTGTTCACGCTGAGACACGTGAGACGTTCACAGATTTACATCAAGTTGTTGGTTCGATAAACAAATCTTCTATGTTAGAAGGGAAGTACAAGGAGGTCAGTTCTACTAATTTTTTTTGAAGGCCTGAAAATAGATCAAAAACATCATCATCTTCTCGGATGGCAGGAGATAGTATAGTTTTTCTGTACAGTTTTCAGCAAACAACACGCAGATTTAAGCCAGAATTTTAAAGACACTAGAAGAAAAGCAAACTGAATTTCTCTTGTATGTGACTGCGTCATGCTGCATACTGTGTGATGCTTTGTGAACTTGTTTTCATGAACAAAATGGTCTGTCTGGGTCCCGTACTGCATGGAAAGAAATATCTGTTTTTTAAACCCCAAAATATTTGTATCTGAAGTGAAATACTGGTGTTTGGGTAGGAATCTCTACTTTTAATTTTTAAGCATGGTGCGTTTTTCTAGGTTGATTTGGCCAACGTGCTAGCTGTGATTATTTTTAGTGTATGCTCTCCCCTCCCACCCTTTTCTGTAAGAGCTGTAGCCAGAGGCCAGAGACAAGATACAAACAATAAATGTAGGGCTCTGTAGAGGTGACTCCTCATTCTTCCCCTTTACATCAAAGGCTAAAACAAAACCTACATTGTTTGGAAAGGTGAAAATGTTTTTTTTCAATCCATGGTTCAAAGTCCTTTATACATCACATCCTTCTAGAAAACGAAATGTGTACTACTAATCATGTGTCTTTTCAAGTAGGCTTTTGTGTTCTTGTGACTTCCACATACCTTTTGGCTTCTAAAAAGAATCACTTACCTTTGCCCTTTCCTCCTTAACTTTTATTTTCTTTCAAGACATATTTATTGAGCTTGTACTATGTGCAAGGCATTTTTCTGGAAATAGGGAGCCATAAGTAAACAAGAGACAGACCTGTTTGCTGTCATTGGGATTATATTCCAGCAGAGAGAATGAACAATAAATAAGTAAAACATGTAAGACAGTGATAAATGCATCAGTGAAGAAAAAGCAGGGGTGGGGGGGATAGTGAAAGCAGGTGTGGTTGGAGTGAGGGGCTTCAATCTTAGATAGCTTGGTCAGAGAAGGTTTCTTTTGGAAGGAAAATTGGTATCAAGACTTCAATATCATTTAAAATATCTTCTCTCTGCAAATGAGTCACAGGTACTTTTTCTGAATTGGCAATCTGTGATGACTGTAGTCTGCATTTACATCCTCTGTAACAACACTTGCTAAATTATTTGTACCATTGCATCCTGCTCAACAGAGAAGTTGTGGATAAATTGAATGGAGTCAAAAACTGAACATCCACAATTTATACGACTCTCTGCCAGGGCTCCTGTCCATGAGAAACAGTCATGGATTCACCTGTGCTTCCCCATTGCCTTGAGAACTTTTGCCAATTGACTGCTTATCTTGAGGAAGAACTTCATTTCTTCCTTCCTTAGTGGCATGTTGAGGTTGGGTTCCTATCTCCAGAATGCAGCCTGTTTGTCCCAAAAACCCGTTGGCCCTGTCTTAGTGAGATGCTAGCAATGTGAAGTGCTTCTCTGAGAAAAAATGGAATATAATACAGGGTTTTCCATTCAATTCCCTCCTGTTTTTTGGCCTAGAGAACGTTCCATTTCATTGTTCCATAAATAATCACGGTCAGCTTTCTTTGTCGGAATCCAGTAGTTTTTTTAGCCATTTATATTTATTAGTTTAGGATATATATTATGATAATTTAAGAATATTTTATGTGGCGATTGGCCTGATTTTAATACCCAGGCAAAAACCCTTGTTACAGATAGACCAAAATGCTGTTTTTCTTTGAAATCAACAGAATATCACCTGATCACATACTATTCCCAGCAAACCCTGGATTTTCGTACATATTTTCTTAGCTCAATCTTTTCATGAAATAACTTTATATTTTAAAATCAGCTTATTATATCTCATGCATGTGGCTCAAAACATTTATTAATTCAGGCTACCTGCTACTATGAAAATTATCAACGTCAAGTTAATAATATAAGGAGATGTTAGACGTAAAGAGAACAAAATATGACTAAAATTTGAATGAGATAAGGAACAAGCAAACTGTAAACAAGATTATAAACCAGAAAAATACGATAACAACTTTCAATATAATTTTAGCAGTAACAACCAGCAATTTTAATGCTACTAGGTGCCAGGTCCTCAGAAAGTTCTTTGAATTAATCAGTAATCAGTAATCATACTATACACCAGATATTTGTAATAACTCAGTGACTAGTATCTCAACCAAGGCGACACAGTTTTTAAGGGACAGAATAAGAATAGAATGTGAACTCCAAGTCATCAATTAAGCTATTCCGTTTATTTATAAACAGCAAAGTTGGTAGAGAAGACAGTTGATTATAAGTAGAATAAAGTACAATTATTCAGAGGTTACTCAAAAAATTTTAATATTTTAAATTAATTTAGTTGGGGAAAAGGCTCATTTTTATCATATTGCCTGCAGTCCAAGCGTCCTTAGTAGTTATGTATGTGTGTGTGAATTAAAATGTGAATAACTGACAAGCCCTAGGGAATCAGTTCGGGCTAACCTATTCTTAGTCAAAACCCTGGAAAAGCTGTATAATAAATGACTTATTAATATCTCAGCTGGGGGAGGAGAGCAGAGAAGAGTTGAATGGAAGTATTATTATGATACACACTTATCTAAATAGTACAGATTATAACTTACAAGTGAAGCACTGCTTGTAAATACTGAAATTTGAAATGAAGTAAAATAGTACATTTATTGGAAACTAACTTTTAAACATACCTAGTTTCTCTAATATTAAAGCACTTTGGATAGTCTCTAAATTATTGTAAAATTCTTAATAGAAAATGATTTGACATCAACAGATACACCTTTGGGGGAAGATGTGTTGCCCCTTAGTGAGAACTGATGGTGAAAACTATTGTGTTAGGCTAATTATTAACTCAACAATGTTTATAAACACCTGTTATGATGCAAATCATATATATTATTCACTAGAGATAAGAGAAAACATATTAAATATAAAATGGCCTGTGCTATGATCAAGTGAAGTAGAGGCTATTGTGGAAGCAAATAGGCAGGAGAGCAATTGACCCAGACTGGAATCCACTGTGTTGATTTTCCTTCAAGATGACTTTGTTCATGTAAAGTGACCGTATAATTTATGGTCTAAACCAGGACACCTTTGAAGGTGAAAGAGGATTCTGGTGATAATTACACAAGATCGTGGGTGTAACATGGGCATACCAGGAGGCATGGCATCGCTATTTCATTCCAACATTTTAGATGAGGAGAGCTTGCATATGTCTGTAAATACAAAGGTGCTTATATGTCCGTATGCTGCTCCTAGCAAATGGAAAGCTCACTTAATTCACAAATCTGGCATGGAATTATCCGTGCAATCTCTGTTCTTCCATCTACAAAGCCCTGGAGATAACATAAACTGCTAAGATTAAGTATTGTTACATTACCTTTTTAACCACAATGTATGGATTAGACTTTGGGTAGTTTACTTCAAGAGCCTTCATGATCATTGTGGGCAAGTTATTCAGCTGTTTCTTTGACTTTTTTTTTTTTACTGAGTTATAGTCAGTTTACAATGTTGTGTCAATTTCTGGTGTACAGCACAATTCTTCAGTCATACATGAATATACATATATTCATTTTCATGTTTTTTCACTGTGAGCTACTACAAGATTTTGAGTATATTTCCCTGTGCTATACAGCATAAACTTGTTTATCTATTTTATATACACCAGTCAGTATCTGCAAATCTCGAACTCCCAGTTTACCCCTTCCCACCCCCTCCCCCCGGCAACCACAGATCTGTATTCTATGTCTGTGATTCTGTTTCTGTAATACTACTCAGCCATAAAAAATGACAAAATAATGCCATTTGCAGCAACATGGGTGGACCTGGAGATTATCATTCTAAGTGAAATAAGCCAGAAAGAGAAAGAAAAATACCATATGACATCACTCATATATGGAATCTTTAAAAAAAATTAAAGACAAATGAACTTATACATAAAACAGAAGCAGACTCACAGATATAGAATACAGACTGGACTGTTTTGATGTAGGACAGCAGTAAAGGCGCTGGCTTAGCTTTGAAAGCCTTAAACCTTCGCACAGGGAGATTTGTGGGAGGCCTCACGTCTGCTGAGAGATGCTTCTGTTTGCTTTGCAGGACCAGTGGTTTTGGCGAGTGAGAAACAACAGGGTGATGGATGGGTACCCCATGCAGATCACTTACTTCTGGCGGGGCTTGCCTCCTAGTATCGACGCAGTTTATGAAAACAGTGATGGGAATTTTGTCTTCTTTAAAGGTAAGGAAAGTTCCCCATGTCTTGCTCCGTTGTATTTTGGTCATTTTTTTCCCCAAGACCTTGTTGAATACATAGAAATGAATAAGCAAAACCTGGTGAGTGAGGTTAGGTAGCTAATTCATTTTGTAAAATGAACTACATATGTTGACTATAAATATAAATGAAATAAAATCAAAGATAATTTTTTAATTCTCAAATTTATGTTTCCTCTTGTGGTATTCTGATTTATAAGTCAAATTTAGGAGCATTGTGATCTCTTAATAGTTTTAGATTTGGCGTAAAAGCACCAGAAAATAAATAAACTAATCAATTAAAAGTCATTTTATCTATTAATTAAGGGCTTGGGGGCTTTTTAAAGAGTATGTGGAGTTGCTTGTGGCTTTTATGCAATGAAATATATTTCACATCTTATTTTCATATGTAATTCCTTAAACTTGATTCAGTCAGTTTATGTTTTTACTAAGTCTGTTATCATCTGAGTGACAGATTTTAATTGCACAAGGATTAATGCCTGGCATGCAAAGGTGAGATTGCCTGGTAAAGTGAACTTAAGTCAAGCGACTGGTACTCCGTCTTCAGAACTCGCTATCATTCAAAACAATGAATCTGAAGTCTGTGTTGGGGGCACAGGGAAAAGACACTGGTTGAGTCGGAGGACTGATACCATGGTGACGGGAGAATGAGTTGATCTGAGGAGAACTGGGCAGTAGAATGAACATGATTGAATGGATTACCCAAGAGCCTCCAGGACTGAGAATAAGCTTAGACAAAGACTGAAGCTGAGGGAGAAGAAAGAGGATAAAACGAAAAAACAAACAAAGAAACAAACAAACAAAAGCAGTTATTCTCAGGATCAGCCTACAGGTGTCTGCAGTAGCGATGAAGGTAATGCAAACATAAGGCTTAAGGACACTTGGGATGTTTTAAGTGCGGTCCGAACTACCCATGTGAAACGGAAGTATATACTTAGAATTTATCTTAACAGATCGTAACTTGGGAAAAGAGAGGTTAAAGGAACACGACAGTCCTGCGGTCACACTGCCAATTTTGAGCACTTACTAGCTCCTCGAACTGGACAGTTGCTCAATTCTCTTTGCCTCAGTTTCTCCATCTGGAGAATGAGGTTAGTATTAGTCCCCACCTCAGGATCAGTTTGAGGAGTAAATTAATGACCAAGTGTGAAGAGGTTGGCACCCACAAGCCCTCAGTAAACATCAGCCATTGCTACTGCTGGTGTGATCGCTGTCATTATTATTATTATCAATATTACTGCCCCCCTGCTCTCTGTAATGAGTGACATGTCCTGTCCCACCATGGACAAAGGAAAGATGCCTAAAGGTTCAGAATCCTAGGGGCATGATATTTGGAGGGAAATTACCCTCCCCTACACTCTTCTTTGGTCCCATGGGCAGTAGCAACAACAACAAACAACAACAACAACAACAAATGGAAGAATAAGCCCTAGGTAGCCTATGGATTGAGGGCTGTCCCAAGGGACCCCGTCTCATCACAGCATCAATCGTGCCCTCTGATGAAACCGCCCGAGGAGAAACTGGCACAGTCACAAATCAGTGTTCCCACGATTCTTTATTGCCTCGGGGCCTTCGCACTTCTATTCAGTGTGCCTCCCCTCCCTCCCTCACTCTGGAAGGGCTCGCTGCTTTTCATCTTCCAACTGCCAGCATGAAAGGGACCTCCCCAGAGTGTCCTCCCTGTCCACGCCATTGCCACCCTCCACCGCGCACGCAGCACTTGTAACATCTGAAATTGACTGCGTTCTGATGTAAATTCCATGCAAGCTGGATCTTGTTTATATTCTCTCACACACCACTGTATTTCCAGTTCCCAGAGACAGTGTTCGGTGCATAGTAGGTGCTAAACAAACGTTTTAATAAAAGCAAGATAGTTGCATTCTGATTGGACTCAAAAGGATATTTCTTACAATGGTAACAACAGGAACAACTTTGTCTCTTGTCACATAGTTACTAAATGTTTAGAATGTTTAGCTTGTCAGCGGTCTCCTCTGATCTACTGTCAGTATCAGGCAATGTCTAATCTTAGAGCTTTCTCACTCCGAGGGCCCAGCTGCGGTGCTTCCTTCCTCCAGTTTACTCCCCGCATTACCTTCAGATAAACCTCCCCGAACACGTTAGAAACAGGTAGCTCCCTTATTCCAAACATCGCTTATTCAGAGGGAGCCAGAAGCGCTGGCTATTTCCAACAAGACCACCCCCTTCTCTGGTCTTTAATCTCACTATTGGCAGGAGAATTAAGAATTCCAGAACCCTGGGCTTTGGGTGACACCACTGTGTTCCTACCCTTATCACAACAATCACAATCAGGATGACTGTCTCAGCTTTGCCCTGGTCTCCTTATGGCCTTTATCACCTCAAAGTCTAGATGATCAGATCATCTCTCATCCCAAGACCATCATCCCCATCTTGCTCTGTGGATGAGGAGACAGTCAACACCTCATCTCTAGCACTCTGTTTCCCTTACTCTGTTTAATTTTCTGCATACCATCTGGCAAACTGTATGTTTCACTTACTTGTTGCTCATCTGTATCCTTCTCACTAGAATGTCAGCTCCTGAGGGCAAGATCATCTCTCCCTTGTTTTTTTTTAAACATAACATTGTATCCCCAATCTCTTAAACCAAGAGTTGAGAAACTTTTTCTGTAATGACCAAATAGCAAATATGTTTGGCTTTGAAGCCCATACCATCTGTATCACATTTCCTTTTATTTTTTTCAGCCTTCGAAAATGTAAAACCTCTTCTTAGATCATGGGCCGTACGAAAGCAGGCAGTTTGTCCTAGTTTGCTGACCTCTGTTTTAAACAATGACAGGACTGCAGTAAACACTAAACTAGTAATTGTTCAATGAATGAAGAATTCAGTTCAAGTCCTCATCTGTGTCTGTGTTCACAGCTGTATTCAACTTGGTCTAGCCCATACCAGCCGTATTGGACAGCTGTTAGCAATGGATTTAAGCATTATTCCTCTTCAAGTTGTTCTTTTTTTGGAACTCTTTCCTTCTGTTTTCTCTCTCCTTGTTTTTCCTTTATGTCTTTCTCTTCTTCTAATCCAGTCTATACAAGGGTACTTGTACTAAACTAGCTCTGTCTTTTATTCTTTCTACCAAACTAAAGTCCATGTTGGTACACAAACTTACTTAATCATGTATTTCCTAAAAGTACTTCAGTGTTAGCCTTGCTTTCATCTTGCATGAGAATTTGAAGGTGTGGATATAAACAGAAGTACAAATGAATGTTTAGCTATTAAGTATAAATACCATCTTAGTAATGTAAAAATCAACATAACATGTCATATTCAGGTGAGCTTTAATAAATACCTTAAGAAGAATTAGAAACTGCTGGAGACAATAAAAACTTCATATTTTTGTACAATTTACATAATTTTTGAACTTTGAGCAAAATTATACATGTGTATGTCATATGCGTGGAATTGTCAGCACATAATCATAAAAATGGATATAGATTGTGGTCCATAGATGTGATCAGTTTTATATTCTTAATAGAATTTTATTGCTTTTTATATATAAAAGTGCAGTATATCAAAAATACACCAAGGGTGGCTTCTGTTTCTAGCCAAGATGTAGTAATAGGAGTCAGATTTATCCTCCCACGTAAAAGCACCAAAAATTGGACAAAGCATATGAAGCAATGATTTTCATGATACCAGACATCAAGAAACAAAGGCAGTGAATCCTGAGAGTTAAGAAACAAAGAGAAGTAAGCCCAGAAAGTGCCCCAGTTTCTGTTCTTGTAAGAATTTCCAGGCTGTGGCCCGTGGTATGGGAATGCAGGTGGAGTTTGGAAGGTTCTCTCAGTCAAGAAGACAGAGCTGAGAGCCATGGGAGAAGAAGGTGGCCACAGTTCACGGGACAAAGGAGTGCAGAGGAAGGAGCTGCACTGCGTGAGCACCCAGAGGTTAGCAGAGGAACCCCCAACAATATGGGAGACAGAGCTGGTCAGCTGATGTGTGTAAGGAAACAAAGTCTGGAGAAAGGCTCATGCAATAGACACAAAAGGGGCAATGCCTGACACCGACATAGGGCTGGCAGTACTTGTTCCCAGCAGCCACGGGCTGTCCACGGGCCCTGGACAGGCTACTGAGAAGAGTTCTGCCTCAGCAATGGGGAATAATGATCCTAGAATGAGTACTCATTCCATCCTTCCTAACCAATCTTACAACACCCGAAGTACTCAGATTGTTTCTATGTAACAGTCCTGGAACAAAGCTCAGGAATATTTATAGGAATACAAAATTATTCACCCAACCAGGTAAAATTCACAGTATCTGACTTTCCCCATAAGACCAGAAGTAAGACAAGGGTGTCCACACTTATCAATTCTAATCAACATTTTACTGCAGGTTTTATTCAGTGTAATACCATTGCACTCAGGTATTTTCCCAAGACAAATGAAAACATTTATACAAAGACATCTACACAAATACTCAAAGCAGACATATTTGTGACAATGAAAAACTAAAAACAATTCATATATCCTCAATAGGTGAATAGGATAAATGAGCTATGGTATGTCCACATAGTGGAATACTACTCAGCAGTAAAAAGGATGAACTACTGATTCATCCTACAAATGGGTGAGGCTCAAAATAATTATGATGAGTAAAAGAAGTCAGACAAAAAAGAGTATTGCTGTATTGCTATATTCATATAAAATTTCTAAAATGTGCAAATTAATCTACAGTGCCAAGAGGTGTCTCAGTGTTTGCCTGAGGACCAGTGAGATTGAGCAGGAGGGAATACAGAGGGGCATGAAAAAACAGTTCAGGATGATAAACATGTTCATTATCTTGATTATACAGATATGTTGACAGATCTATACATGTGTGGAAACTTAAATTATATATTTTAAATATGTGCTATTTATTGTGTGTTAATTACACCATAATAAGGCTTAAAAAAAAAAGCTTTGCTAAGCACATCAGTTTATGTTGGAATAGTTTAAATA